ATATTTACTGTGATACACACGAGTCAGGGTTTGGTATTAATCAGTGCGGACATACCCCTTGAGTTAGAACTGCAAAGTTAAGCTTTCAGCCAAAAATACCACAAAATTAAAGAATAATCAGAAAATCTTCTTGGTTTCTGTCTGGTTTCTTTTTCGTGGTGGCTCTTTGAATGGATCATTAGTTTGGTCACCTTGTTAAACTAGAAAATGATAGAGGGGAATAACGCATCCTAAATTTATCTCAAGCTCAGGTTAAGCTGCCATTTAAGAACCAGCTCTTAGTTTCTAGCTAATAATCATGGATTTAAAAACTATATCACACAAAAAATATCAAACGGTGAGCTTCAGCTTCACTGTTTACTGGGTCCGAACCTAATTTGCGTTGTAGCCGTGATGCAAATTGTTCAAACTGGACTCATAGTCTTCAGATGTTTTCACTTTTTTCAAATTATTTCATTGTAATATAACTTTGAATTGCTGTATTTTTCCTCCATCATTCTTCACTCTAACCTTTATACAGAAGCATAAACGGTAAAAGGTCCCACAGTTCACTTCATGTCAGGATTAAAAACAAAGCCAGTGGATTCAAAGAACTCTATAGTTTTTAGATAAAATTGTGGCGAGGCTTAAATAGTGACAAAAGTATAGAACTGTTTCTCGAGCTGTCGCTTGTGAAATAGAAAAATTGTAGAAACTCTAAGATTCTTCCTGGAGTTCGCCCCACAGCCAAACAGAGAAGCCCAGCAAGAAGGGCCTTCATCCAGGTCGTGACCGAGCGCTCAATGGTCAACAGTTTCAGACGTAATCTTCACAGATGGGAAAGCCAGAGTGGCTTCAGTCCACTGACTGTCCTTGAGCGGCTGAGCCAGAACCCAGATGTGACGCTCATGACACTGGTAGAGAGAGCTAGAGATGGCAGTTATCCAATCTGATAAAGCCTGAAAGGATTTGCCTGGAAAAATGGAATAACCTGCCTTTATCCAGGTGTGCAAAGTCTGTAGACTTAGCCAAACAGATAAAAAACTTTTAAAGCTATCAACAAAACTTCTGTGGAGCACTGAGTAAAAGATCTAAAGGCTTTTGAAAATCAAATACTTGTGATTTACTTTTAGACAAATTTTGGGGGAAAGAAATCTGGCATGCTTTTACTTGGTTATGGGAAATTTGTTGTATATTGATGGGTTTTTGTTTTTTTTAATCTTGAAAATTAAAAAAAAAGTGTGGAAAAAGTGACAGGGTCTTAAAATCTTCTCAAAGCACTGTAAACACTTATCTAAGACAACTTGTTTGTTAAGCAGACCATATGTACAAACTGAGAACGCCTCAAACTTTGAATTACATAAAAAACAAACATTTGTTTGCTTTTGCATATTTACAGGGAAGAGCGAGGACAGAGAGGCATCATGAGCTACTTAACCTTGAAATATCTTGGCTCGGGTTCTATAAAAGTTACAAGCTTTATTCATTGGGTCATTAATATTGAACATGATTGAAGAAAAGCAAGTGGGAACGTTGTGAAAAATGCTGCATCTCCTTCTGTGTGCACACAGGGTTTAGTATTAGAGTTCCTTAAAGCCAGTCCTGAAAAATACTAAAAGCTTCCAAAATCAATTACAGTGCATGAAACATTAGCCTTGCAACAAAAAAGGGGAATTTCACACTGACAAAAAAAAAAAAAAAGCGCCAACTGTTCTCACTGATTTGTGCGCACGTAGCTTGCATGAGAGTTTGTGATTGGCTCGAACAGTGACCGCTGTGATCGGTTTTGGGTTGGCACAGTGGAAACGTTTTGTGCAAATTCAAGTATAACGTAACAGCTTTTTTTTTTTTTTTTTTTTTTTACAGACTTTAAAGTAAACAACAGTTTAGAAATGTAACACTTAATCAAAAGCACTGAGTATGTAGTAGAATAAGCATGTAGGTACTGTTTCACCAAAGTGTCACACTGATAAAATAAATCCAACACAAACATTACAGTAAAAGGATATCAAAGTCTTAAAATTAGATCTTTAAAATCTGTTTTACACCTGCAGTGAAAACGCTTCTGTTTGAAATCAACTTGCCCCTCTGGCCAGACTTTTGGCCTTCTGGACGCTAATCTGGGGATCAACTTCAAGCCCAGTTAATTCAATATTCAGCCCGACTGTATAATAGGAGCATTTTTTTTTTAAAAACCTCTCTACATCCCCATGAACTTCAGAGCAGGTTACGTCTGAGTGATGTGCAGCTATATCTATGAAAGGTCTGACATGGTCTTTCAGAATGCTCCCACTCTAATCTGGGATTATACTTTATGTAATCCACGACTGTATGGCTGTCTCAGAACAAATTAGCATCTCCACACTGCAGTCTATCCTTTTAATCTAGAGTGCAAGCAAAGGTTACACTGCACCATACGCAGAGCCACAATCTGTGCAACTGAGAGACAATGAGATCAGTCTTTTCACTTTATCTCAGGGACACCATACTGATACAATATCATACTGATGGTTTCATTTCTTCATTTTGAGGTCAGCTTCTATGGCACTACGGCGCCCTCTGGTGCCTCCATCCTGCAGTGGAAGTGGGGGAAAAAACATTTAGTCTGAGCTTTAAGAGACTAAATGAAGTATTTTAATAAAACCTTCTTTGTTTGTTTGTCTTCTTTGTTTGAATATATGTAACTGCAGTTTTAAAGGTAGTAAGGAGGGTACTTACAAAAAGAGAAAGAAGGAAGGCAGGGGAAGACATGGACACAGTGTCCTGTAAGAGGAACATGACAGATAAGAGCTGCAACTCAGTAGTGTGCTGAAAATCTCAAACAGGAGCAAAATAATACAAAGAGAGAGACAACACAGTACATTCAGCTAGAGGAAAACTGGAGACAAGCTTTAAAAACACACATTAACTGCTATAACATTAGTACTACATTTACTAATGTTTTGTTGCTGCCCTGCCATTGCGTTACAGGACGATGCCACATGTTTAGCTCAGGATCTTTATATCATGTAAGCTACAGATATACAGAATACTGTTGTCAAGACACTTTTCAAGGTACTGCAGGACATTTTAGTCATCTCCTACCTTTCAGTGATTTAGAGGTTCCCATTAACATCAGTATGCTATGACCCATCATTATTTAACTCTTTAAACTTTCCTATCTTCAAATGGGTTATCTGTAATCAGAATATCTAAAGAAACAGAAAAAGACATTCTGCCAGACTAGATGACCGGGAGGAGAAATACTTTATTTCACCAAATTCTTTGGGTGTAAGTAACACTGAAAGTCAATGTTAAAAATGAAAAAATATGTATTTTATATAGTATGGTCTGTAGCATAAGTGTTTTAAAATCATTATTAGTTTAGCAGTTCTTTATGCAGTGCTTTTGTCACGGAAACATCTTTTATAAATCAAACTAAAGCTGATTGAACAGTAGCTTCAATTCATTAGACCTAATATCCAGTAGTCTGCTTTCTTAGTAAACACTCATTGAATGCTTTGGATAAACTATAAGTACATAAAGGCTTCAGACAATAACTTGAGGTTACTCTATTCAGTAACCTCTGTTCTCTGATAACATGAGTGAGGTAAGATAAGCTCACCTCTTCCTCGCTTCGTGCAAGGAGGGGTATCTGGTGAGACACCTCACTCATGTTATCAAAGATATGCAGACTCCCATATTGCCAGATAAGCCCATCTGAACGACTGACTGCCAACTTAGGTCTCGTGGGGTCATCTCTAGCCCACACTTAACACAGTGTGGGGGCTAGAGATGGTGCAGTGACATCCAACCTGTAAAACCTTGCAAATGTCAAAGGTGAAGCCCAGCTCGCTGCTGCACATATCTCCTCTATAGAGACACCCCTAAAAAGGGCCCAAGAGGTTGCTATGCTGGAATAAGCCAATTGGATTGCCTCAGCAATCCAGTGGGAAATGCGTATAGGTACATAAAACCCTAACTGGACAGACAGCATCTAGGCGCTCCTGTTCAGGGGAGGAGAAAGGAGGAGGGCAAAAAGCTTCCAGCTCCAATGGGGTGCATTGGAGATAAGGATTTTGGGGCACAAAGGCCGGATTTGGTCTGAGTGTGACTCTAGAGTTATCCCACATGAATCGGGTGCACTGTTTGTGTATTGACAGTGCATGAATATCGCTGATATGCTTCGCAGATGCGAGAGCCAGGAGCAATGCAGTCTTCAAAGACAGGATTTTTATTTCCACCTGGCTTAGTGGCTCAAATGGTGGCTGTGAAACTTCCCCCAGCACCAGGGATAAATCCCATGTGGAGACGAGAGGTTTAGAAACTGGGTGGAGTCGTTGTGCCCCTGTCATAAAACAGCGGACTAGTGGGTGATGGCTCACTGGGCCATCCACGAAGCCCACATGACAGGCTGAAATGACTGCTAGATATACTTTAATTGTGGAAAAGGCCTTTCCTTTATCTGACAGTTCCTGGAGAAAGGAGAGAATTGTTGTCACAGAGCACAGAAAGTAGAGAGTGTGAGACTTTCCACACCACTCCTCAAATACCCTCCACTTGTTGGGGGCTCTAGCACTCTGAATAGTGGCTATAACACCCTGGGGGAGTCCTGCCATACTCAGATTCAACCTCTCACAGGCCAAACCCACAGGGTGAGGGTGAAAAAGAATCTCCCCCCTGGCTTGGGAGACTAGGTCTCGTCACAGAGGAGAGGCCAAGGTTCGCTCCACAAGAGGGGCATAATCTCCGCTAACCAATGGGACCATCGTCCACCTTCGGGCAATCAATATTATTGTTAGCCCTCTTTCTCTCACTCTGGTTAAGAGTGGGAGAAATTAAGGCCAGTGGAGGGAACGCATAAAGCAGAGCATGTGGCCAATTGTGAGCTAATGCATCTACCCCTAGCGGAGCCTCCTGGTCCCTCAGGGAGAAATACAGTGGACACTGAGCCTTCTCCCTCGAGGTAAACTGGTCGACCTGTGACTGGCCAAAGCGGGTCCAGATATGGGTCACCACCTGTGGGTGCAGGGTCCAGTCCCCGTACAGCAGGTTCCCCCTGGACATTAAATCTGCTCCCAAGTTCAGAGCTCCTGGAATGTGAGCAGCTCTCAGTGACAACAGATTGATGCTGCTCCACATGATCAGTTTGCGAGCCAGCATGTGCAAAGGACGGGACTGTAACCCGCCCTCTGTTGATGTACGCCACAACAGTGGTGTTGTGTGTTCTGATCAGAACAAGGTGGTTTCTTAACAGTGGAAGGAAGTGTCTCAGTGCTAAATGCTGCTAGCAATTGTAGCCAGTTTATGTGAACACCCCTCTGTCGTGAGTCCCAGTTGCCGCTCACTGCTCTGCCCTCATGAGTGGCACACCAGCCCGTGAGACTTGCGTCCGTGGTCACCGCCTTTCTGGCTGTGAAAGCCCCAGTGACACCCCCAAAGTGAGAAATGTGGGATTTCTCCAACAGTGGAGTGCCGCAGCGCAATCTGCTGTCACTCTGATATGGTGGTGGGTATGGTGCTTTCGATTCAGTCTCCGTGATGCAACCCATTGCTCAAACTCCCTCATATGCAGTCTGCCTACTGGAATGACCGCCAGTGAAGACACCATTAATCCCAGCATCTGCAGGCATCTTCTGAATGGGAGATATCTTTCCACCTGAAAAATGCCGGCATGTCATAGAATTTTTTTGATTCTATTCACAGAGAGACACGCTCTGTGCGAGGTGGAGTTTAGAGCTATTCCTATGAAAGAGATGACCTGAGCTGGCTGCAGAACACTCTTTTCATAGTTTATGGTGAAACCCAGAGCCATCAGATGATCACTGTCAACCTGGTGTGCTCTCTTCCCATTATTTCGGACTCTGATAGCAGCAGCCAATCGTCTATGTATGTTGCTATGCGGATGCCCCGCCTCTTCAGTGGGGCTATGGCTGCCTCTGTGCATTTCACAAATACCCGAGGGCTCAGTGAGAGACCAAACGGCAGGACCTGGTACTCGTACATTCTGCCCTGAAACGCAAATCACAGAAATTTTCTGTGAGGCGGGTAAATAGGGATGTAAAAATATGCGTCCTTCAGGTCTATTGATGTAAACTAATCACCTGGGCGAACTCCATGTAGCAGAGTGGTGGTTGTCAACATCCTGAATTTGTATGACCTCGGATGCTGATTTAGAGCCCTTCGGTCCAGTATCGGACGCAGTCCCCCTCCATTTTTGGGCACGAGAAAATACTTTGAGTAAAAGCCGCATTGGCTCTGCTCCTGCGGTATTTCTCGTACCGCAGGAGCCTTTGATAGCAAGGTAGATATTTCTTCTTGCAGAATCCTGGCTGATTCGCCTTTTGCAAGAGAAAAAATGGTAGCCTCGCTCGAATGTCCTCACAATCCATTCTGGCGTAGCGAGAGCTCACCATCTCTCTATTCTTGCTGACAGCAGCCCCAAAGTCAGGCACTCCACAGCAGACGGGGCTTTGGCTCTCTCTCTCTGTGGTGGAAACTGGTCCTGCGGGCCAGACCCGACTGCGCATGTGCGGGCGGAGCTGCGCTTGACCAGTGTTGCCGGACACCACTGAGGAAAACGGCCCCGGTGGTGTCTACGGTTGTGAGGACATTATGTTTTTCAACATATCTGTTTGACTCAGCTGAACAGTGTCTCGTCGTCTCTTTGTTGGAATGCACTCTGTGGGATCCAACTCAAGTCCTAAGCGCTGAAAGATGGCGGCAGAACACTTCTCCGAACGGGCTCCGGAACTGAGCCCTGAAGTGAACTTGGAGGCCGGGCTGGTCCCGCTAAGATCTCCACGTGGGGGATGTTAGGCAGTCCGCTTCTTCTTGCGGCCCGACTGCTTGGCTGGTGGTGGGGCACCCTGAGCAGCAGCAGGCGGGACATGTTTCCTGGGCCAGTGGGTTTTAGGGTTCTGCGATCCTAGGGGACCTTGGGCCGCGACCTGCGGGGCTGGGTGGCGAGGGATTTTAAACGTCGGCACGCCGAGTGGACGGCTGGTGATCTGAGAAAACCTGCGGCAACGGGGTGGAGACGAGGGCGCAGCCTGGGTCTTCCTAGTGAGACACAGCTGCAGGGCCTCTCCCTCTTTCTTTTTCTCCTCGCACCGTCTTTGTATGGTGGCAACGGCAGTCCCGAAAAGGCCAGCGGGGTTGATGCTTTCATCCAGAATGTCACATTTTTCTCTGTCCAAAAGCCCCGACAAGTTCAGCCATCTTGCCCTCTCCTGCAGGACAATGATGCTGAGAGCTCTGCCTGCCGCTTGTACTGCTGCTCTAGTGAGGTGGAGACACTGGTCCATAACACTGCCCAGCTCTTCCCACAGCTCGCTAGCATCGGGCTTCGCAGCAGTCTGGTCCTGGAGCTTCGTCGAGTACGCTAGCAGGAGCGATGAGGCGTTCAATGCCCTCACGGTGGTGGCAACTGATTTATACTCTTTGTCAGCCAGGGAGGACTGCAGACGTTCGGCCTTGAAGGGCAGGGATGGACCAGATGACATGGAAAGTTTCTGGTTTGGGTGGAGATGAGAAGTCACATCTACCAAATCCCCACTCCACTGTGGGGATTTGGTAGATGCCCTTCTCCTTCATTCCAGCGCAGTCATATGCCGCCGCTCCCTGCACGGGGTTTGGTGACGAAAATGGCTTTGCCCAGCAGCGTGTGACCTCGTCCACGCATTCGGGGAAAAGCGGCAGTACCTGCTTAGTAGTGCGCTTTGCTCTGGGGAGCTTTTTACCCTCGTATCGTGAGGTGGAGGTCTCCGTTGTCACGTTGGGCCATGGGACTGCCAGCTTTTCAGCTGCCCGTTTTGCAACGTCAAATAGTCATGAACCCGGTGTGGAAATAGCCGCTTGGGCGTGTTGCAGCCCGGGGCACATCACAGAAGCGTCATGTGTATCTGAGCCTGTGATTTTGCAACCGCAGGGGCAAATTCTGAAGAAGCGAGAAGAGGAAATTGAATGACGGGTGACGCTGTGTCACACCCTTTTATCCGGTCTTTAAGTCTGACGTCATTAGCCGTGCCTGGGCCCAAACTCCGACTCCCTAAGTCAAACAATCACCCCAGCATTACTGAGAGTTGAAAAACTGTCTAAAATTTTTTCATCTGTAATAAAATGATTAGTATGGATACTCTACCAGGTGTAACAATTAAGTTTAACATCCAGGCATCCATGAAAACAGAATTTATGAAATTTAACGGAGTTAGAGGTTAGCAGGAAGTTAGCTCACTAGTTTCCATCTAAATATAACATACCATGTTCTGACTGAGGGATTTCTGAAACAAATTAAGATGTACAGCTCTGCTATCACTTCTGACATAAATGAAGACAGGAAAGTAAACAGCAGTGATGTTTGTAGGGTTACCGAAGTTTGGCTAGCTGGTATATAATGATGCGCTGCGTGATCGCTAGCAACACAGCTATGTTAGCATAATATAAACAGTGATGATGTTACTGTTACTCATTAACAGGCAGGGCAGCATAGCTGGTGACTTTTTTCCATTCGATAAAAGTTAACATGAGGGTTCCTGAAGGTTAGGGGCAGATGCAGTTACATGGCAGGATCCTGTAAACGGACCAAACTTCAGTCAGGAGAAAAACTGAGATAATCCATCCACAATACAAGGTTATCCATTAAAATACTACTGCATGGGCTGAGCTGTAGTTACATGTAAGGTTTTAAAAAATGAGCTTTAAAATGATTAGTGGTAATAAAAATCAAGAGAGGCCGACAGTGATCACTGACTGTTTTTAGGGGCTGTTGAGATTAAATAGAACAAGATACAAAGCATTAAAACATGTTAAAAACACCGCAGCCTTATTAAACGCAGAGTAGTTTGGACGCAGGGTTCATCACGTCATTACTTAAAGACTGGATAGAGAGGAGGGTGGCCCCTCCCTGACGCAAGCGTCACGACTGCCAGCCAATGCTGGCTGGAGTAATGACATAGAGGCTTCTGAGGACAACGCTGAGAGAGCGTCGCCCATAGTGAGACACCGAATCGAATGTTTGAAGGAGAACAACCTGATTTTCATAGCATACGAAGCCAATGGCTACCTGAGAAGAACTGATTTAAAATCAAACGTCATGCTTTGGAAAATGGCCATAAAATAGTTTGGCATCACTTTCTTCTACTTTTGTTGTCTCACCCTTTTCTCTTCTTCTGTACTCTGCTTTTGTCAAAACTCTAGTGAAGCACCTTGTCAGTAGAGTCCTGTTTGCGCGTGCTCTCACGGCCTCTCAGGCTCTTGGCGCTGATACCAGATTCTGACGTCTCCATGATCAGCTGGGTAGCTAGAAACTGTTGTATCTGCTCCAGGACGTCACGCTGCATCTCCAGAGCCATGTGGTACACGTCGTGGTCCAGGCTGTTGTACATGACTGCGTTCTGAAACATCAGCATGATGTCCCTCTGGAACTCGGCGGTGGTCCGTATCAGACCGTTCTCGATGTTCTTCTTTATGGTTGCCAGGTCCATGGGCCTGGAGAACAAGAAGCGAAGACAGTTCTGTCTGAGATGTTTTTCCTCTAAAGCTCCAGTAAAGTGATACAAAAATATTCTTTGCTTACCTGTGCACAATACTGTGGTATCCAGGCGCAATCTCTTCTGTTACTGGCTGAAGGAAGACATTTGCATACCTACAACAGGTTTACATGACGCGTTACAGAAAAATATCGGAGACTGTGCATTTAGTGTTAAAGTTATGAATCAGATTCTGACCTGTGATTGGCTGCTGCTCGCCACACAAGCATAATGGCTTTCTTCCAGATTTTGTGAGCCTGTAGAGCTTCCAGATCCTCACTGCACACAGAACTGCATGTTGAAGTTCAAAAAAAAAAGTTGTATGAATGCAGAAACTAATCTGCTGCAAAGTCAGTATTCTTATATCATCAGCACCATCTAGAGCAGGCGTCTCAAACTCGCAGCCCGGGGGCCACTTGCCCCACTTGTGTCACCCCTACTTGCAGCCTGTATATTGACTAATGTGTACACTTATGTCTGCATTTTTATTTTGTTAAATACAAACAAAGTTATAGCAGAAGTGTTGCCACGTGTCTGTCCAGAAAGAGAGTACCAATTTGTTTATTTGGTAGTTCAGTGAAAGGCTTCAGTGAGAAAAAAAATCATTCGCATTTGCAGTTTTTTCTTGTTATACAATATTTGACATTTTAAAAAACAAACAAAACACCACATTTTCAGAAATATTTGTGGGTGTTTTCTTGTTTGTTTGTTTTGTACTACTTGAACACTAAAGTGGTCCTCCAATGAGATGATAGCGCCAGCAGTGGCCCACAGCTCATTTAAGTTTGAGACCCCTGATCTAGAGTATAAATGCATTTCACTTACAACTGCGAAGAAGCTGGGCTGCTGGGGATGGAGTCTGCAGTTGTGTGGAGCTGCAGTGAAGAGGAAGCCGTATGGAGGCTGTATCCATCCTCACTCTCACTGGCCGCCGGTTCTAGCTCAGTTTCGCCGTCTGGCTCTGATAGGAATTCTTCCACCCCATCTCCCACTTCTTCTCCACACACCTCTGGCCCATTAACTTTGTTTTGCAGGTTAGTCCCCGAGGCCTTCTCTCCTCCCCCAATAGTTATTGCGTCCTCCCTCTTCGTCTCCTGCAAAAATGTAAAAAGGCACAGACAGATTCAGACAAAACTGAAAGTGCCGGGTTACTGTGGAGCACACTGCAAATTTTAGTACAGCAATTACAAGCATCATGCTCGCTTTGTCCTCATACAGTGCTATACCTTTGGATGCCTTTCTGTCAGTGGGTTATCTTCTAATACCGAGTCTGTCAAGATAGTAGAAATGAATAATAAGGTTTGCAAAATGCATAGTCTGACGCAAACTGCATGTTACGTGGCAAGGCAGTACAAATGCTTAAGCATGGATGTTCGTACCTGCGTGGATTTTTTCAGGGATTTGCTGTGCCCACTTCTCACGTTCACATTTTATGGATGACATTTGGGTTTTTGAGTGCACCGCCTCTCCAGTCTCTCTCACTGCTGCAGCCTGTGGAGGCGTTCCACTGCGGTAGTGCTCCAAAATCTTTGAGTCGCATCCAGATGAGGAAGAGGGAGGAATGCTCCTCAGTCCCACAGGAAATCCTGCAAGATGGTTATCTTGACTGTTGCAAAAAGAAGAGAGTGAAGCTTCCGTCCTCTCCTCCAAGCTACAGTGAAGAGATGAAGACTGTACAGCCCCAGTGGGCACTGTGGGGTTGTGTGGCTCATGAGGCTGGAAAGGCCCAGAATCCCAGGCAGCAGACAGAGCGTGGCCATTTTCTTCACAAAGGGACAGAGCAGCCTCAACTGCAGCTGCATCCAAAGCATCAGCGGCTTCATCAGCCTACAAAAAGAAGCATACAACGAATACTCATATTGTAAAAAATAAATAAATAAATAAATAAAAATCCAAACAGGTCTCATAAATTATTTGATGTAATCTAAACAGTAAGGTTTGTTGACTTTTAAAACCTTCTCTTCAATGATGGCGATGATGTCCCCCACTGTCTTCAGGTCCAGCTCATGACACAGTGACACAGTCACATCGTCCTCACTGAGCTCTGACACCTTATCTTCTACCATAGAGGAGACAGGCTGGCATCCAGGGGCCACAGATGGCACCATCACATTTACCTCTGCATGAATGCAACAACTGATTTACTAACTGTTTAATATTTCAACACCATGAATATAAATTCTTATTTGGTAAAGCATTATTACATCTTTGCTAGTTTAGAGCAGGTGGCCAAGAACAGATCTGATCAACAGGTCACAATTAAATCCTCTGTATAAAATGGAAAGTTTGTGATATTAAGAATGTGAGGGTGTTGGATCAGAAAGTGGACAGACCTGCACTTGCTGAGATGTTTGATTGAGCAGGAACAGGAGTGGTGGCAGAGAGAGGAACACTGGAGGCAGAATCTACACTGACCATAAAACCTAATGGAGGGGAAAACTGGGCGGGGCCTGCTTCCAGGAGACGGGACAACATCGGGGCACCTGTCATGCAAGTATTCACGCAAGCATTAACACATGAAGTGCAGAGCTCTAACAAAGCACCTCAGGCTATCAGATGGTCAGAGTATTAGCAAACATTTGTGGCAACGGCATCACCAGATAGCACCCATGCATTCAGAGTTCAAGAGTAAAACTAACAATTATAAAACATGTTCAAAGAGCTAAAGATAAGAAGACCTATGGGACGCTTTTTCCTGTGTCAAAGGGGGTTTCTACTGAATGCTTTTTTTTTACTGGTATGGTAATCTGTTGCTTTGTGAGACATTTCTGTTTATCGAAATCCGAACAGTAAGATTTGCTTTTGTAAGACATACAAAACTCAAGACATTTTAACAGAGATCAACAGTGATCAAACACAGCATCTGTACCTGCTGCCTGAGAGAGAGGCTGACAAGGTGGAGCCAGCTGCAAGTCATGTGCTCCTGACACATTACCTGTGGACACGTCACCATCTCCAATCTGAGATAAAGATGCATACACAAATCAAACACGTCTAAAACATGAAGCAGTGCTGTTTAATAATAAATCTGTTACTCATTAACAGGCAGGGCAGCATAGCTGGTGTTTTTTTTATCCCATCAGTGGTGTCTGATCAATACTGGATTTTTAAGGCCAGTGCCAATAAAGAGAGAAGCCAAAATGATTTCTTCTTCAAGTCCAGGATATGTGAAGTGAATTTTATATATACAGTAATTTTAAACAGAATCCAAATTTAAACGATAACAGAGAACTGTAAGGAGACAGAATGGATAGCCAAATTATTAGACACCCTCTAAAGCACAAGAATTCTTCACGTGATCATATAAAGGTAGACTGCCCTGCAGTCTTATACAAGTTAATTATTGGCATATATATTAAAGCCCTTCAACAAACCAATCTGGAATTTGTGGCCAATATACTGCCTTTCTTCAGTAACTCTGACAGGAGGGGAGATGGTGGTGGCGTGGCTTTCTGACACAGTAACTTCTTTTGGGTGGGGTCCTCTAGCAGGGACCCGTGGCTGTCATCATTACCAGAAGGCTCAGCAAATGTCATTAGCCTGGCTGTTCCAGAAGCCTAGAGACAGACAGAGGGAAACATGACATTTTATTAGGATTTACAGATGTAGTTGTTATCAGTTCTCTAACATGTTTTCTTTTTTGTCTCTGAAGGGAATGGTCAAAAGTATTAGACTCATTTCCAAAACAAAAACAGTCATTTTCTATGCCTTACATCCCATATAGCATTCCTGGTAAGTTACACCTAAACACTTAAAATTAATTTTTTTAGGTATTATGAGTCCGACTTTACCAAATCTAAATTTGTGGCACACAAGAAACACATTACATTACATCTACTAGGTACATACTGGACATATAATGAAGGACATTATATCTGCTGAGTGTTGTGGTGAAATAGATAGTTTAAATTTGTGACTATTTAGCGATTTTTCTTCATAGCACACTTTGTTTAAAAGGGATTTTAAAATTCTAGTTTGATGATAAAATTGATGGAATGTTTTGTAAATTAGCCAATTAAGTCACAATGACAAATCAAATGTCAATTAGGTGGTTAATGAGGAGAAATCGATTGATTGAGCAGCCGCGCTAGCACTAACAGACAAGGTGCAATGCTAAGCTGATGACCTCTGACATTTCCTGTGAAGGAAAAAGGTACTTGAATGTGGATTACATTCCTTCTATTAAGCATATTTGACACTTCCTGTCTGTGTCTGCCAAAGGGTCTGTTACTGCTGCAATGTTCAGGATGTTATAAACTAATTAAGGATAACACAAAGACACCTAAACAGCCTGTCACTCAAGGCTATTGAATCTGAGCTCTCTGGAAGCAAACGACTTCAATCAATGGTATTAGTGATTAAGACAGCTTCAGTATTTTGCATTCTAACTAGCCATATGTTCATTTTGGCTACGATGTTAGTGCCTGGTTTTAAGATTTATTTTAGTCTGATAAAAACTGCAATTTTTACAGACTTTATATGTGGAGAGTGAATTGAAAATAAAATAGAATACTAAAGTTTATTTGTAGTCTACAACCCAATCATGATCAAATGATAATGCCAGGGGTAAAAATAATTTACCAATTATGCTTTTTCTTATTCTCCCTAAAAGAACATGACAGAAACGAAAAATATTTATAGAATCATTACACCATTATTAAATACTAATAAACACTTTTACATGTCTGAAAACGAGGCAGGATAAGTGAAATGTCAGGCATTGTCATAAGTAACTCTGAGTCTTCAGAGACTTACATTCTTTGTAGATGTAAGATCCAGTGTCAAGCACTCGAGTTGGTCACCTGGGGAGAACTCCTGGCTTGGGGAGCTACACCCTGAGGGCGAATGCATGGTGACACTGGGTATCCGCTTGGGTGTGTTCTTTGCCACCTGTCTGGCTGAAAGAGGGACGGGCAGCATAGAGGAGCCTTTTCTTGTGAGTCATACAAAAGCAAAGCTTTTCTTTTCAAAACAATGCTCTCTACACGGGCTGTCCAATTGGCTCAACCTGAGTATGAAAAATGCTGACATCTCTTTTGACAGGTGATCACCTTGAAATGAAGGATATTTTCTTTGTTTATTCCCATGTTTTCTAGTGCCAACAGCAGTTTAAAGTTTCTGGTCAAACAGTTCCTGCAGAGTGCAACACTTCTACTCAAGTCTTGATGAGCTTTCTGTAAGACCATTCTTAACCCAGTTTAATTTTCAGACACATCTCAGTTTTTCATATTTTCCTTAAAAGAATCCAGACTTTCTTCTAATTTATAAAAGTTTTCTCGAGCAATATCATCAGTTTAATAAATTTCAAAGTTTTTCTTTGGACTTTACATGCTTTTTCTCTCATTTTCAGTACCTGACCAATTTTAGACAACTTTTACTTTGTTTGTTGACCCACATAAAACTGACCAATAAATCATGAAAGCCAAATTATCCCCATTTCTCTAGTTTAAAAAACAGGGTTTTTTTATACTTTTTTGTCATTTGCCTTTATTTGATAGTGGAGACAGACAGGGCCACAGGTCGGATTCGAAACACGGCCACTGCCTTCTGGCCAGTCGCCTGCTCACCCACGGAGCTAAGCTAGCAACCAGATAATAGTTTGAGGCACAGGCATAGAATTGTACTTTTGAACTAACCAGGGGAGCTGGTATGAAGGATAAAGGTGGTATTTCCAAGTATTGACTTTCAAGCTTGTTAGAAGTGCACAAACCGTATTTTTCCCATGTCTCTGCTGCATGTTTCAATAAATTGCTGCACCTTTTTCCCATTTTCTTAGCAAAACATATAGAAATGAGGGTTGGCTCATGACTTTTGCACAGAAGTATATGTTACTTGTATCACAATGTCTGTTATATGAAGAATCTCTTCTGGTTTCAGTGGCACTAAGCACAAATATATCTAAGAAGTTACTTTTCATGTAATTACTAGCAGGCCGACTTAGCTACACAAAGTTATCTCAGTTTAATAATCATAATCTCATTGTTTTTTATTTTCATTATTTATGGATGACCTGTGTAATTACTGAAATATAATTCTTTATGGATGTGTTCCTCAAAAAAGACCCCTGAAATTGAAAGAAATACCTTGATAAGCAGCATCTGTGTTTTTTCTTTTCATCTCTGCTTCCTCCTCCTCCAGTTTCTTCTTCCTAACAGATGCACAACAAAAGATCATTTCCTTTGTTGTTACAAAGAGAGTCCAATGAGTCCAATGTTTAAGGTTTGCAGGAGAAAAAGACGTGCATGATTGTACAAACAGGGTTGATAGATTTGTTGCTTCTTACAGCAGAATTTCCTCCCATAGCTCTTTCAGTTTGGAATCCAGATGTCCAGCTTGAATCAGTTCAGCCTCTCTCTTCAGCTTCCTATGAAAACAGCAGTATGTCAGCTCATCTCACTGACGCAGTTTGAGGTGTGTGTCTTTTTTAGACGAATAATGTGTTCATGCTAGTTACCTGTGCTTCTCCTGCGTTTCTTTTATCAGCTTCTTTAGTTCCTCGATCCTCTCAGCCGTCAGTCTGCGAACTATCACATCCTCCACTGTCTCCACCACCTCACCTTTCTCGCCGCGCTTCCGCCTAAAGGTAACAAAGGCATCAGCTCGTAACGCTGCATATCCTCTAGATGCATTCATCAAACAGGGTAAAGCTACGCAAGCATGTTTGAAGTTGAAGTCACTTATGTGCTCACTTTGGGGCCTCTGTCGCTTCCAGGAGCTCTGAGTATTTGGAGGCACAGTGCTGTGAAGATCCAAAAGAGTATCAAGAACAACTTCATTCAAATAGAGTGCGTGAAACCTACTGCAGAGATCATGGATTAAGTTTTTAATGTTGTGAAAGCAGCCCTGCGATAGTCTGAAAACCTGTACAGGGTGTTCTCTGTCTTTCACCCTGTGATAAGGTGCTTTGGTCATACCTTTTGAGAGAACCAGTCAGGTGGTCGCCCAGGTTCTGCAAATGGTTTTATGGCACGACTGACCGATACCCTGATGAAAAAAGCATAAGACATCCCAAGATAAATACAGTTCTAAAGATTATTAGACTTAAACAATGTTCTATTTATGCAATGGTTTATTATCTTTATATTTCAGAAACAAAATTATATTAAATCTATTTTTTTCCCATTTATAATTACTCTTTTAGTACCAGGTTACTTCATGCAAACCTGGTACTAAATTAAAGCCAGCCAGCACTGGGCTGCATCATGTATGCCAGTGTAACAGATAAAGAACGACATGGCTAACCATGGTTAAGTCATCCTATTTGTATATCACTGTGTACTGTAACAGGAAAGCAGACCAGCAACCCTTTTAAGTACTCAGGCACAGGAATACTAACAGAACCACCCTAAGTGACAACATCTTTTCTTAAAACCTAATCATAAGCAAAAGGATACATGTGTAACTAACATCTAATGTGCCAGATTATGACTCACACTATTGAGCACATAATACAGAATCGCTGAAACCAGTTGAAAGAGGCATGCATTACCAGTTCTGGTCCCCACTCTTCATGACAGATGTGGCCAAACACAGCTTCTCCCTCACTGACCATGGTTCTGTTGGTCCAATGACAAGCAGCTTGTGTTCTGCAGACGTGGACGAAACATAACATATACTTTATGCAGTATATTTTTAATACAGACTGTGTTCTGCTGGACGTCTCCGGCCTGGATCTTTTTTCTTCTTCTTCTTTTTTTTGCCATTATGATCGAGCTAACCACCAGTACCGGCACTTTAAGCATGCAACTGCATACACAAAGAGAGTGTATTTGATATAACTGATAGCAAACGGCAGCCACCACCAGTGTAAATAGAGCCGTCAACTCGTGATGACAACCAATAATCCGTGCAGGCTGCCACGCAGGGAGCGAGGAGAAGTTAGAAGCGATAAGATCCAAGTACGACACACACAAACACACACACACGCTAACGGGTAGCATGTCATGACATTTGCTATTTTCCAGCGTTACTCACTTCCAGCTCCGTTTGCCATCTTCCTGTCATCCCAACATCCCGTACATCTTGGTAGATAGAAACCCGGCGATTAACAACGCTGGCGATATGCGAAGGCGATACTCATAGGCTAACATCAATGGATGTTAGGCTGGATGTGGAGGCTCTCAAGATTTTTCTCACTAGCTAGCACGCTGAATCACCGCTGTTGCCCGTTAGTCTCAGTCTGGTATGCCAAAGCTTTTGGTAATTTAAGGATTAACCAGTTTGCTAGAATGTAAAGACTGCGTCTGTAAAAGAGTCAAAAAACGGTCTAATTACGTTAGAAAGAGTTTATGCTACCAAGCGACAGGCAGCCAGACGAAGAAAAAAATTTAGCTTACTGTAGCCATAAACCTTATTTCTCATTCTAGCTAGCAGCGAAGTGTTCGTACACGCCCACCACAGTAATAATAATGTACCACCCTGCAGGCGGCTGAGTTTTCATAATTAATCAGGGTAGCTTGTTTTTTATGTAAAGATGGAACTTAACTTGTGTCAGTAGAATGATAATTATATGTATAAATGTCAGTCCAGCACTTCTTTTTTCCACATAACTGGGTAAAAGCACTAAGCACAAACAAGTTTAGTACACAAGTTGTTTTCCACACAACTAGCTAGGTTCACATGTAGCATGCTGCGCAGATGTTCTACTACTACTACTACTACTAAAAATAATAATATTACATTCTCTATTAATTTGTTATCCGTTTCATGTACCTTAAAATAACATTAGACTTCAAAAATATTTGTGCCAAAAATTAAATTTAATGGAATCCAGTCAAATAAAATGTATTTGTTTTGTGTACATTCAGTCCTTTCCAAGCATGTTTTCCTATATTATTAATTATTTGAACAAATACATTTTAATTTGATATATCTCAGTTGCATTATACTCAAAATTGCCAAGAATCATTTTTTGAGTGTACTTTCATGAACAAACACGCACAGTCAATAAAAATAATGCTAAACTATATGATTTCCAAAAAGTTCTCTGAGTTGAAATGTTGAAATTTACGCTCCTTATGCTGTCTCCTATTAAATAAGGACTACATTAACAGCTACACACAGTAGAAAATAATATCAGAACTTGACACTTGTACTAAACCAGTGGTTTCCAAACTTTTTTCGCTAGGCCCCCCTTTGTTTTACAACAAAAATGTCCCCCCGCGCGCGGACACACACACACACACACAAATACATCCTCCAATCACACACACACCCATATTGTGCTCCATTGCGGTTTATTTCACATCTCAAACATTTAGTAAACAATTAAGCAAATACAAGTAAACTGCAATAAATTACAGGTAGTAAGAAAATAAACTACTAACTCTTTTATGCTACGTCCACACCTACACGGGTAATTTTGAAAACACAATTGTTTCTGTGCGTTTGGATCTTTCCTCCACACGTAAATGCAGAGCTCGTTGTGCAACGTCAAAGGTATATGCCTTTTTTCACGTCACGCTGTGCGCCACGTTATTGTTTACATGAGATGAATTGCAGAATGGCAGCAAGTCAGATTAACAGTATTTTGTATCTATCTTCAGGTTTTACACGCTTACATATACACACGCAGTTACTGTCCCTCTATTTACAAAGGCAGAGGCGTCTCGGTGTAATTATTTTACTTGTATTTGTTTTTTTTTCCTGTGTAATAATATTCAACATTGTTATCAATATATTTTTCAAAAAATGCCTGTCTGTGCAAAATGGGTTTAAAAACATAAACAACTGTGGGATACTGTTAGTCCGTGATTTAGACAGGGGGAACAAACCGTGGCAGGATCAGCCTGCATTCTTTGTAGCCCACTGTAACTTTACTGTATAAAGAGCTAACATCTCTAAAATGTCAGGAGTAGTTAGTCATTACAACAAGTGTTTGTGAACTAAAAATCAAGAATGTGGGATACTGTTTGTCTGTGATTTGAACAGCCCAGCGCATGCTCCCCACAAAGGGAAAAGCAATTATGCAGGGGAGACCTACCTTGGCACCCTAGGGGGCGGGCCCCACACTTTGGGAAGTTCTGTACTAAACAATAATAATAATAATAAGATCACTATTTTCCCCAAAAATGCCCTAGATATGAGGAAACCAAATACTAGCTCCCCCTAAATAATGAAATCATTGATTACAGTATGAGCTGAGGAATGTTTCCAGCACCCTGTTGAATCTATGCCACAAAGTATGACAGCTTGGAAAGCAAAATGGTGTTCAACTCGGCACTACCAAGCTGTACTGAGACAGACACTATCTCTACTTTTAAGATTAGGCTTAAAACTTTCCTTTTTGCTAAAGCATATAGTTAGGGCTGGACCAGGTGACCCTGAATCCTCCCTTAGTTATGCTGCAATAGATGTAGGCTGCCGGGGGATTCCCATGATGCATTGAGTTTTTCCTTTCCAGTCACCTTTCTCACTCACTATGTGTTAATAGACCTCTCTGTATTGAATCATGTCTGTTATTAATCTCTGTCTCTCTTCCACAGCATGTCTTTTATCCTGTCTTCCTTCTCTCACCCCAACCGGTCGCAGCAGATGGCCGCCCCTCCCTGAGCCTGGTTCTGCCGGAGGTTTCTTCCTGTTAAAAGGGAGTTTTTCCTTCCCACTGTCGCCAAAGTGCTTGCTCATAGGGGGTCATATGATTGTTGGGCTTTTCTCTGTATCTATGAAGCGCCTTGAGGCGACATTTGTTGTGATTTGGCGCTATATAAATAAAATTGAATTGAATTGAATTGAATTACCTAAAAAGTATTCAGTCAGTGTATAAACAAGCTTTAAGCACATTTAAAACCACCCCAATCCATAGTTTTTAGATTAAACTTAATAAAATTGTCCCTCACTTTCCATATAGTATTGTTTCCCCAAAGTTTATGGTTCAACTTTAACCTTCATACAGATACCTTCTCAGTATATTCAAGAGGAATTTGTGGTCAAATCAGAGACTGGCAGTTATCCAGTATTGACTTTCTCTAGTTTTCATAATGGACTTCCCACTGGCTCAACTCCCATGAAGGTAAAATCTGTGCACAATCTTTTTGATTAAGATACGCGCAGATCCTGTGAAGACATTTAGAATTTCTCCTCATTTCTGGTGGACTTACTTTGTCCTCTTTATTCTTGCCATTTAGGTTGTGTTTGGCAGTATACAGCACTTTTAGATGATTTTCACTTAGGTGGGTGAGTTATTCAAAATGATTTACAGATGAGCTGAACCATAACAAGATTAGGAAATTTCATGGAAGTGAAAGAAAACTAAAACAAAAAGCCCTAAGAGCCGCAAATGCAATTAAGATAACTTCTAAATTATAATTAAAATCTGGCTTAAAATATCTGATAGTGTCATCCTATCCACTGTGCTGTAGAGTAGAGAAGTAAAGGGTGCAGTGAGTCATCAGAGCCACACCTGTTGGGATAAACGCCCAACAGACTGTCTACAGATACAGTTTACATGTACACAGGAAAACACTAACAAACCCCTGCTGAACAGAATTGGAACATTTTTTATAATCTTGCATCCAGCCCTAAGAATCCCTCTAATTCAAGGCTCTCCCAGCCTAAGAGATAAGGCCAGAAACAAGCAACCTATGTCAGTTGGTATTGAGACTGTCTGTCTTTAAGAGATATTCTGCCAATCATAATCAGACTTGTCTCACCACACTGCTTTCCAAACACCTATCAGTGTAAACCAAATTCTAACAAAATGAAAAGAAATCTATCTCTGGGAAGAAGAGTTTATCTGGCCCTAAAAACAGGTATGAATTAGCAGAATGTATCTTAGGTGTCAGAAACAGAAAAACAGAGTCAAATCCTAACCAAATGTAGGACCACAAACTGGCAATTGAACAAGGAAGACACACGAGGTCGTGGCAACTGAAAGATTAGAAGAACATGTGATCACTGTTTGAGAGGTGAGGTTAAAAGTGAGACATTTCCTCCTGAAATGTAAATCATTCAGTGAAGTAAGGAACATTTACTTTAGCCACTTCGGTTCTGTAATTCCAAATTTCTATAAGCGGAACATCTCAGGAGATGGGGCATGTCTGACTGCCTGCCATATATATGTCAACATGCTACAAATGGAGGGATTGTGAATGACCAGCGCCCACGCACACACACACACACACACACACACACACACACACACACACACACACACACTTTATTAATTTCTATTGTTCCTTTTTCTATTATTGTTATTTAATTAAACTTTTTTTCTGTGAAAATAATAATAAAAACAAGTACACGAGAACAAAAGAAAAATCTATTTGGTTTCCAAATATTTCCAAACCTGAAAATGATGGTTATGAATCTTTTGTAGCCCTTTACCTGCATTACAGATGAGTGTGTCACACATGCAGCCAGAGCCACAAACTTGAAAAACCGGTT